GAAGGCCGTCAGGGCGTACCCTTGGACATGATGGCGGAGGGAGGAGGGGGGGAAAACAAATCGCGCGAGGAGATAAGCTTAGCCGGGGGGGTGGGAGCTCCCCAGGGTCGGGGGGCAACCGGTGTACCGGTACATGAACATGCCCCTCTGCTACTGATGAGCAGGCGGGGTGGGGGGGGGGGGGGCTGGGGCAAGCATTCGCGCCAAAGCAGGCAGACAGGTCAAGGAGAAGGCCCCATGGCGCCTCGCCTCCCCGCCGGGAACATGTGCGCGTCCATGTCCCCCTGCGCCCCGGCCTTTCGCGACCCGCCGTGGCCCGTCCCCGGGTCCTGTCCCGCCCAAGTTATCCAGCAGCTCCGGCGGGTGAGCCGAGCACATGTCGACCGAACGAGGTCCGATGCGCGTTGCGGAGGTTGCGGATGCGCCGGCCTGCCTGGGCTGTCCTGCAGACACGCCCCTCGCCCCCCCCCCCCCCCCCCCCCCCCCCCCCCGGCCGGGCCCGCCCCACGGGGGGCGACCCCCCCCCCCCCCCGCCCGGCCCCCCCCCCCCCCCCCCCCCCGCCCCGGGGGCCGGCGCGGCCGCCCCGCCCGCCGCGGGGCCACACCCGCCGCACACCCCCCCCCCCCCGGCGGGGGCGCCGCCCCGCGCCCCGCCCCCACGCCCCCCCCCCCCCCCCCCCCCCCCCCCCCCCCCCCCCCCCCCCCCCCCCCCCCCCCGCCTCCGCCGCGGCCACCACTGCTGGGTTGGCAAGGGTGTGGACTACCCCGAGCTGGGCCCGCCGCCCCCACACCCCCACACCCAGGGAGAGAGAGTGTGCTAGAAGTGAGGCGAGGGGCAAGGCCCGACAGGCCCAGAGCTGGGCATTTGTTCGCATGCGTGATTGATCGGCCCTGGTCTGGAGGCTAGCGGGGGGAGGGGGGGGGGGGGGGCCGAGGGATGCTTGGCCCGGGGGACCAAATCCTCTGTTTTTTGGTTATAAATAATCCCCCCACCATCGACCCACCCCTGTGTTGCTGCTGTTGCTGTTGCTGTTGCTGCTGCTGCTGCTGCTGCTCGAGGCGCGCTGTCTTCGTTGTGAGACGTGGGCCGTCCTGCCCGGATCCCATCGACGGCCGTCCACGACGGAAGGGCATTTCGCCGGCCCTGATGTCACCACACGTGATAAACAGAGGGCGCAACATTCGGGCCGCTTGTGCCGGAGTCTGGCGACGGTCAAAAGCCCCCGGGCCGATGTCGGTACGCAGTATTTTTCTTTGTCTTAGTATTTTCCTAAGACTGCAACAAGCTGATATATTTCTATTCTGCGATGATGATCTCAGCTTTCAGGCCCTATGCCTGACACATTCGAGATAGCTGAGCAGACTCCGTGTTCACTCACCTGAACCGCGGACGCTCGCGCGTCCGTGAGAGAAGTGTATCGGTCTCTGTTCGCAGACGAAGGAAGATACTACACCCCTTTTTTCTTCCCCCCCCCCTCCTTTTAAAAATCGAGTCCCCCGCCCCGTGGCCCGCTTCTCGGCGTCTCTCCGCCGCGTCCGGCCGACCGGCTCCTCCTGCCTTTCTCTCCTTTTTTACAGCACACACACACACACACACACACACACACACCATTGCGCAGGTTCATGGTATGTGTATATTTCTCAAGGACATGGCCGGATGCGTGTCTCCCGCTTTTTTTTTTCCATCCACGGGGGAGATATGCTCCGCTCTCCCGGGGGGGGGGGGGAGACACGGCCGCACACGGGATGGCGCTCACTTCTTCTTCGGAATGAAGACTGCCAGCAGGGGAACGGCTACCACAACCAGCACGATGATCAGGCAGATGATGATGATCATCATCTTCTTGCGGGCCTTGCGCTGGAGCTTGACACTCTTGCGCAGCTCACCAACACCACGCTCGGTCTCGGCCACGGCGGCCTCGACATTGTACTCGATATTGTTGAGGATCTCGCCTTGCTCCAGGACCAGCGTTTGCAGGTCGACAAACAGCTGGTGCAGCTCATGCAGGGATTTCTCCAGACGCAGGAGCGATGCATGGCGCTGCTGGATACTCACCAGCAGCTCGGTCGCCTCCTGGCGCTGCTGCGAGTGCATGGCCATGAGTTCTTGATTCTAGGGCGGTAGAGTGCGTGGCCGGGATGGTCAGCAGTGTGGCGATCTATGGGGGAAAAAAGAGCAAGAAACCTCGCTGCATGTGCCTCCCCCCCCCGCCTCCCCCGCCTCCCCTCGCGGCGCGTGATGAATGTGCACACACCCCCTCGAAGATGGCCACCGGGTTCTCGAAGAACCCCTCGACCATCGACGGATCTGCCTGGGGATTGACTGTGTTCATGGGTGGGCGTGTGGATGATGTGCGGGCAAGAGATTGGACGATCGCATGGGGTCGGTCAGTTGGTGACATGGCTGGCAGGCAGGCGGCGTGGATCAAACATACCGAGAAGCAGCTGGTCCAATACTCGCCGCTTGGCGCGCTCCTCATACTCGACTTGAGCACGCTGCAGCCCCTCGATGGCCTCGAGGGTCTGCGTCTCGAGGGAGGCGATCTGCGTCGTGCGGAGCCGGGATTCGCTGTTGTTTTGCGAGGCCGCGGGCTTGGTGAGCTCTTCCATGGCCCAGGCCTTCTGCTGGGCCTTCAGCTTTTCCAAGGCCAGACGCAGCTGGCTGGAGGTATCATGAATGGCAGCCAGCTTCTTGTCGAGGGCCTTGCGAAGGTCTGGGCGCGTGCGTGCGTGCGTGCGTGCGTGCGTGCGTGCGTGTTTATGGGTTTTCCAGATCACCCCCCTCTGAGTGTCAGTCGGGCGGCATGTGGCCCAGGATGGTGAAGGCCGAAAGCACCATCAGGCGGGCAGGATGCTGACAGGCACGCACTCTCTTCATCCCGATGGCGGGTAGCCTGAAAGACATTGTCTTGCTCTTTCTGGAAGGCGTGGACCTCCTTGTTCATCAGGTCGATCAGCTGGCGAATGGTTTGCACATTGGCCAGGAAGGCGTTCGATTGGGGGGACTTGCCAAATTCGCCTCCATCGAGGGAGGCATTGGGGGGGGGATTATTCCCTCCCTATGGGACCGGTGGGCGGGCATGGGCAGATGCGGGCGGGTGAGCACCAGGCCATCGCCAGGTGGGTTTGGTGTGCGCATGTGCGCACTCAAGGCAGTGCAGGGGGGAACGTACCAACCCGACGGCGGCCATCAGATCGCGCATTGTGTGTCGTGTGCTGTGCAAGCGGCGGTTGCGGCGCAGCAACGGCGGCCGGCTGCCTGGGCGAGCGGGTCGGGAGGTGGCGAAGGGCAGGAGGGTGGCCCGGGACGCAGGCACAGGTGGGGGCGAGAGGAGAGGCTGAGGGAGGCAGATAGGTGGGAGGTAGGGGTGGGGGAGATGCTGTTCCTGCCGGCCCTGACCCCGGGGATCTGCCTCAGTTCCACTCAAGGAAACAGCCACCCCCTAGGGCCGGAGGAGCCTTGGCAAGTGCGACGGGCCAGATTGGTGATTCCCTCCCATTCTCCACCTGATCCTCTCTCTCTCTCTCTTGCTCCCGCTCTCCAGCTCCGTGTCGCTCCCTCTCTTGCTCGGAGGGAATCGAGGGGCTTGCAAGATCCCGACCACCTGCACACGCCATCCGGCTAGAGACTATTCCATGGATGGGGGAGAAAAACGGCCAGGGCCAAGGCGGTGATCTTGCCACTCCCGCCCCGCATGCATTCGTGCATTACAACACACTCATGCATACATACGCATGCACAAGTCCCGCCACATCGGATTCCCAAACGGGGGAACATTCTTTGGCCCCCCCTCCGTCCCCACCACGCCCTTGCTTCGGGTCCTTTTTTGGATGGGCAGAGGCCGGGGGGAAGAAGGCCCCTGAACCCGGGGGGGGGGGGAGAGAGACTGCCCATGGCCACACGCCCGATCCCGCCTCGTCTGGTGTAGACCACACCCCCCTCCCGGGAACCACGGAGGGAGGGAACGAAGGCCGGTGCCAGGGCATACGTGCCTGCGTGCGTGAACGCGGGGGCCTGTGCACTCCGGGCTGTGTGAGGGGCGCCAACGGTCCACAAAACCATCAGGTCGATAGATACAGCCATCCGCATGACATTCATGTGACCTTATGGATTGGCAGTTATATCCTCAGATACATGAGTCGGCAATTGCCGGCTCCCTGGTCGGGCGAGCGTGACGGAGGGCCGGGCCAAAATGGAGAGGGACGAGCCACCACACGCAGGTGAAATCCCCCATGAGAAAGATGCGGCGCCCATTCCCCCCCCCCCCCGCCCCCTGTACACAGAGGAGAGCAGCAGGATCCACAGCATGGTCGTCTTTGCGTTTGAGTGTTTGGATTGTATTGGGGGATGCATGTAATGTTGCATGGCCGAGCGCGCATGGATGGAGGGGGGGGGGGGGGAAGGCCTTCCTCCCACTTTCTGCCTCCCTGTGCCTGGGGCCGTAGGAAGAGAGGTAGGGCCGATACTCAGGCAAGGGAAGTTGTCCGACGCGCGCACACACACATACACACATGCATCATGCACAAGATGGGACTCCCCTCCCAATCCGCCCCCCGAAAGGAGCCTCTGCGACGAAGGGGGGGGGGACAGAGAGAAAGAGAGAGGGCGGCATGGCGAGACACACACACACACACACACACATGCGCGGGGCGCGCACACGAGAGGATATATCCGCCCTTTACAGGGCACCACCGATGTAGCCGTCGCGCTCGAGCAGGAGCATGATCTCATGAACGATCTCGGAGATGGACTGCTCACCAAGGCTGACAGTGGCGTTGGGGGCGACCGGGACATCATAGGGGCTGTCGACACCGGTGAAGCCGGTAATCTCGCCGGCATCAGCACGAGCATAGACACCATGGCGATCACGGCTGCGGCACACCTCCAGGGGGGTGGCCACATGGATGAGGTAGAAGCCACCGGCGCGGGAGATGACCTCCTGGGCAGCGGCGCGCGACTGGGCGAAGGGGGAGATGCTGGCGCAGAGGACAGCCGAGCCGGCCTTCACCAGCTCGGAGGCCACCCAGGCGGTGCGGCCGAGGTGGGTCTCGCGATCCTCGCGGCTGAAGCCCAGCTCGCTGGACAGCTCCTGGCGGATGACCTCGCCATCGAGATGGGTGGTCCGGCGGCCGCCCTCCTGCAGCAGGGCCAGCTCCAGGGCGCGGGCGATGGTCGACTTGCCGGAGCGGTAGTAGCCAGTGAAGAAGACACAGAAGCCCTGGTTCTTGCGCGGGGGGTTGGACTCACGCAGGATGCGGACCACCTCCGGGTAGGAGAACCACTCGGGGATGGGGGCCCCGGTGCGCAGGCGGCGACGGAGCTCGGTGCCGGAGATGTCCAGGGTGCGCATGTTGGGCTTGACCTCATCGGCCGGGACATACTCGTCGGTGTCCGGAAGGTAGGAGACCATCTGGAAGGGGACAATCTCGATGTTGAGCTCGGCCTTGTACTTCTCCACCATGATCTGGGCATCGTACGGGCCGTAGGGGGGGTTGCCGTCGGACATGTTGCCCGGGCCGGCATGGTCACGACCGACAATGAAGTGGGTCAGACCGTAGTTCTTGCGGATGATGGCGTGCCAGACGGCCTCGCGCGGGCCGGCCATACGCATGGCCAGCGGCAGAAGGCTCAGGGTAGCCATGCCCGGGGGGTAGCGCTGGATGATGGCCTGGTAGACACGGACGCGAGTGAAGTGGTCAATGTCGCCGGGCTTGGTGACACCGACGACCGGGTGGATGAGGATGTTACCGGCGATCTTGCGGGCCGCGCGGACGGTCAGCTCGCGATGGGCGCGGTGCATCGGGTTGCGGGTCTGGAAGGCGACCACGCGCGACCAGCGCAGCTTCTTGAACAGGGCACGAGTCTCGGCCGGGGTGTTGCGCAGGGCCGCGAAGTCGTGGTGGGTGGGCAGCTGGATGGCCTCGAGGCTACCACCGACATAGGTGGCCTTGGAGAGGTCCAGGGTGTACTTGGTGCCGGGGTGCAGGGTGTCGGTGGTGCCGAAGACCAGCTGGGCCTCCTTCTCGCGGTCGGGCACGTAGACGGAGCCGACTGGACTCGCGCACGGGCCGATTCAGCACGCGGAGAGCCGGGGGGGGGGGCGGGGGAGGGCGGGGTGTGAGCCATCGTTCTTCCCGGAGCCATGTGACGTGTGACCGGGGGGGGGGGGAGGCAGAAGGAGACGCACTGGTCAGGATGGCGAGGGGCTCGTCGTCGCGGGGATCGCGCAGGACAACGCGAGAGCCGACGGCCAGCTTGTTGGTGGAGATGATCTCCTCATCGACGTCCAGGGTGATGGGCATGGACCAGAGGGTGCCATCGGCCAGGCGCATGGAGGTGACGACGTTGTTGTAGTCATCCTCGTTCATGAAGCCGTCCAGGGGGGAGAAGCCACCGATGAGGAGCAGCTCAAGGTCGCACAGCTGGCGATCGTTCAGGATGATGGAGGGGAGGGTGCCGGCCTCGGCGCGGAGGACGTCATACTGCGTGCCAGGAGGGGGGGGGGGGAGGAGGGGGCAGGGGGCGTGGGAGGGTCAGGAAAAGTGGCCAGAAAAAGGTGGCACAGGCCTCGGCTGCGGGGGTGAGCGCCGCATCCCCGGGGAGGGGGTGATACCTTGCAAGCATCGCGAGCAATCAGATCCATAAGGATACCGCCGTGGGGGACGTTGGACATGGTGGTGCTTCGGGGAGGGGGTGGTGGCTCGCTCTCAGGAGTGCGTGCCCGGGGAGAGGGGAGAGAAGGGGGAGGGGGGGGGGAGGGGATCTGACTGGGCAGAGGAGGAGGTCCGGTCAATGATCTGGCGATCAGTCCTCAAGGCTGTGTGTGCGACCGGGGGCCGCTTAAAAGACCCGCCGATTTGGCCTCGGGCCTCGTCCCGGCGCGGGGGCGGGCGGGCCACCGCGCCCGTCAGGGCACCCCCTCGCCAAGGCCCGTTGCTCCCCCCCCCCCCCCCCCCCCCCCC